ACCTGCTGTCTTACCTTCTGTCATTACTTTCCTCTTGTTGCTGAGACAAAGTACCCAACACCCAAATTTAAGAAAGAAAAGGTTTATTTAGCTCACAGTTCGTGGAGGATGCAGTCCATCCTCAGCTGGCTCCAGAGAGGGGTGGCACAGGGCACAGGAGCAACACTTCAGCGTGGCAGAGGACAGCACAAGCAAGAAGAGCAAGAACTGGGGGAGCAAGCATCTCTTCCTCCCTTATAGTGTAAGCAGGCTACCCTGCCCCCAGGGTGAGGTAGCACTCGCACTGTCTCTCCGCCCACCTCTTGCACAGGATGAGGTTGTTTCCAAAGTGAGGACTCTGGCTCCCTGCTGAGTCACTTGGCTAAACTTCTAAACTCCTCAAGTTGACATAATGTATCAACCATCACACCTGCCCACAGGATTTGCCCCTGCGCCCCTGGCTGTGTCTCAGACTGGCTCTTGCTGTGTAGCCCAGGCTGGCCTTAAACTCATGATCATCTTAACTCAGCCTCTTGAGCACTGGGATTGCAGCTGTGTGGCACCACGCCCATCCTCTGTTTCTTTTTGCTGACAGCATCCTGATAGTGTTTGGGGTGATGGACTGCTCACACACATACCCTTTTCTCGAGTCCCATGTTGCTTTAGACACAGTATGGTTAAAAAAGCGTAAATGGGTGTGTGTGGGAAGTCTGGGGTGTTCTCCTGGTAAAATGACGTAGAGGCAATGCTGCCACCCTTTCGTCACCTGGCTCTGCCGTGTTGCAGCGGGGTTTCAGCAGTTTTCTTGTGTTTGTAAGGGGAAGGCAAACAAAGATTGTGTGGGCCGTTCTGTTGGTATTAGTGAGCAGCGCTGGCATGTAAGACTTTCTATCGTGTGCTCCTTACAGACGTTGTGAATTGCTTGTGTGTTCGTCCAGTGCAGCAAACCAGTACTAATGAGTGCAAATGACGTCAGTGTGGCTGGACGGAGAGAGTGGTGAGAGGGAGCTCATGTGGGGGGGAGGAAGTGCCAGATCTACTTGGGTCTGATCCGTTTGAGTTGTAAAGTTTGACCTGCAAGTTTTAAGACTGAGTAGTGAGGAGACAGAGGGGATGCGCGTCGCTCGCACACTTAGCGTGTGTTGCTCAACCCTGCGAGCTCTCTTAGTGCAAACACGCATTTCCATATGTACTTTGATTATCTGCTACACACTAAGTGTTGTGCATTCGCACGTGACTGAACAGGGTTTGTATACAAGGTTATGCACACCACCGTTAGACAGCTGGGAGGTTTTCCAGCTGATCTTGACTGATCTTCACGTTATGGGCTGACTTTAGACCTGGCCCTTACATGGGATATAACTCCAGTGCAGCGAATGTAGATGGCATGGTGCAGGCAGCTCTGTGGTGGGCATAATTTCACAGGCACGGTGGCAGAGATGGGTAAAAACGGTTGCGTTCGGGGCAAAGAGGCCAGCTTTTGATTCTCTTTCTACTCTCACTCGCAACTCCTAGCTTTATGGTGGAATCAGTTGCCTGACTTCTGTCCCCCAGCTTTTTCCTTTGTGAATTCTGAATGCTGTCAACTCAGGACATAGGGAAGCATGATGAAATATTTTATCCCCCGAAAAGAAGTCCCTGACTTGCTTTTTTGATCACAAAACAGAGTCAGTGCACCGTTGGCTGTGGTATTAGAAGAGTGGAATGCAGACTTGCCTCCTGTAGGGAGAGGAGCAGGCGGTGCCTGGCCCCTCTGCGGGCGGGCTTACCCCGGGGGCAGAACCCCTGCCTTGAGTATGTGAGGTCCTGGGTTCAACCCCAACACCACAAAAGAGAGAAAAATAAACGTTTTTGAAAACAACTATGAGATAGTAAATTCAGTTATCTTGAACTTTTTAAGCATGTTTTTTCCTAACTTACATATAAAATACATGTTAGAAGATTTAGAAAATAGAAATGTAAGAAAAACCACCATTTAGTCTTCACTTAGAGGTAACTGTTAATGTTTTGCTGTATTTCCTTCCAGTCTTTTCAACATACATATTTAAATTTTAATATCATTGAGATTAAGCATTATATGCAAATTTATGTCCTTTTTTCTTTTATGATTATGTATTTAACATTTCCTTCAGTTATTAAATAATTTGTATTATCTTTTTTTATAGTGGCTTAATTGGTTATATTCCATGTCACATAGGTAACCTAATATAGAATTTTTTTGCATATATGTTATATTATTCATTATAGAGAACTTAAGATTTTGACATTATAGCCATTGTTGTAATACTAAACACTTCATTCTTTATAGGTTTTCAGGATCAAAATTTCAAATCAATGGTTTTTAAAAAAGAAATAATGAAAAAACATCCTTGGCATGGCGCTCAGCCGTGAAAAGTACTTGAAAGTCATTGAACTCTCATCTTGCAGTAATTCTCTGTCCATTTGTTTTTCTGTTATTGCCGATGCTGCTGCTGCTGCTGTTAGGTCAACTTTAACAACTACATCATTTGAATCCTTTGATTCTGAAACTTTCCGTTTAGAAGAGGAGTGGATTAGCAAAGTCTCCTTTAGAATTTCCATTTTTATTTGTCTTAAAATCACATCTTCCTTGCCATACCCTGTTTATGTGCTAATGTTATCACTTACTTTAACACTACGTTCAACTACCCATTAATATGCTTCTAAAATACTTCAGTATTTAGAATTTCAGGGTCATGAGAGTTGGGCAGAAACCGAGTTCCCGCATACCTCCTCCCGCTTCATCAGTGTGGCAGAGCGGGGTCTCGTCCCTGTAACGCTCAGTGGGGTGCGTGACAGTAGTTGCCCAAAGCCCACAGCTTACGTTAAAGTTCACTCTGCGTGTGAGGATGCATACCCTCCAGTACAGCACCGTGCAGAAGAGTTTCTCTGTGTCTTTTTTTTTGGGGGGGGGGCGGGGGGTTTTCTCCGGTACCGGGAACCGAACTCACGACCTTGCGCTTGCCAGGCAGGTGCTTTGCCGGTGAGCTAAATCCCCAGCCCCTCTCTGTGTCTTTTGATGGCTTGGTAGCTCATTTTTTTCCCAGCACCAAATAATGTTTCATTATCTGGATGTTCCACACTTTGTCTTTAAAAGTATTTTGTGCTCAGAAAGATTGGAAAAAGAATAATTCTCATAGCTTGGATGCATAAGGAGACTTAAGTTGTAAGAGTATTTGCAGAATGTAGGTGTTTATAATCAAAGGGTAAGGGTTTCCTTTCTGACATTTTCCCCTGGGGACACAGATTTGATTCTTATATTGATGAGCAGTTTAGTCTTATACTAATAAAACCAAATGACTTTTTGGTCTTGAAAGAAAGGATGAAGAGATGATATTGTTAGCTCTGCTATGTTGGTCTGGAAATGGTAGCATGTGGATACTTGCCTGTTACATACCAGATTTTACTGGTGACATTAAGTGAATGTAAAATGACAGTTATGGACAATATTCCAGCTGTTGGCCCGAGTGAAAGTTGCGTCATCAGATACCCACCCCTTTTTGTAGGTTGTAATAAAGTAGAGCATGTATACATTAGAAGCATGATATGAAATTAAGATTTGATTTTCATCTCTTCTGGTTTTTTGAGTACTTGATTGTTTTTAAATGGCTTATTTCCATGAAACTATAATATATGTTTTGTAATAAATGTGTCATTGAACTGTTTTTAATTCAACATTGCTTCTGTATGCCAGGCCTACCTATTTATTTTAGGTGTGTTTCAAGAGAATCTGTAAATGGAATATATAAGAATTTGATCATCCTTCAGTTGAATGTTGACATTTAGAAGCACTTAGTTTTATCCCTGAAATTACCATTAAAAAATTATATTTAACTGATTAATGGTGCATATAAGTAGTTGGTATTTTTTCAGCATTCTGTGTAACTCACAGAGTTTTCAGAATGCTTCTATATGGTTCTGATTGCCAATAGAAAAGTTTCTTTCTGTCAAACAGCCTTCATTCATAGTTTTTTATTAATTTTTTATGAAAATTAAAAAAAAATACAATTTACTTAACATAAAGATTCAAAATTGCTTAGAGTAGTTTTGAACCCCCAGTTCACAGGCTGTGAAGGCTGTGGGTAGCCCCACAAGAGTCTTAAGTGTTGCTAGTTTTTTCACGTGGTGCAACTTCAGGAGGTAACATGCTCCGCCAGCTGAGCCCTGGTGCACATGCATGACTGTCCCGTCAGGCAACTTCTACCACTGGTGGTACAAGCAGATCTAATCCCTTGTATCATCATTCTACTAATACAAATTAATAAAAAGCTGCCCAGTGGTGGTTCAAGGCACCTGGCAGTGCGATGCACGAATCACACCTTGTGAGTGTGTCGGTGTGTGCAGTGCAGTGTTACCGTGTATGAGAGCACTGCTTTTCATGTTGACTAGATTACTGCAGAAGTAGTTCAGTCAAAATATTTTTTTAAATATGGGAATTGTTGAAAAGATCTAATTTTAAAAGTAACTGTATTATTGCTTTTGGTCTTTTTAACAATTCTCTGTGGTTGGGAAATTGACATCTTCTACCCTGCTTTGTAGATGATAGTGATTTGCCCGTGGTCCCATCAAGATAGGTTATGGAACTGAGATGAAAATGGACCTTCTTGTTCACTTTCATGCTTCTCGTGTCTGTGCTAGGCTGGCAGAGACTCTTTCACAGTATTTTCCCATGGTCGGTGGTACCATTTTGTTGTGTGTGTATTACTAATAGAGAGGATATGTCACAACTGAACTCCAGTATGTGCCTTCAAGCTGAAGTGTCTAGAAGACTTACGTTGGGGGGGCTTCGGCCTGGGAGTGAACTTAGTTTTTGATGGTCTAGCCCCACTGGAGAACCACGTAGTTACCTATAAGTAAACTGTATAGTGCTAATCAGCAAAGACAGTAGCACTGGATGGATGTAAACAGAGAAGCTCACATGAGAAGTCGAGACCGAAACACCTGATTTTATCCTGTGGTCCGCATGTCCTTGTGTACACTGGGTTCTGTCCTTTCTCTTACAGATGCTGAAAATGTCCTCTAAGGAGAAATATCCCTTGTTTACTTTTGTACACGGACATTCTAGAGACTATGATTTTACGTCTACTACGGCCAATGAAGAAGACCTTTTCTCTCAGGACGAAAAGAAAAGATTGAAAAGATTCAGTACAGAGGAGTTTGTCCTGCTATAGAGACCAGCACACACCTGTGCTTGTTGAGAGCTCCTGTGACGGGAAAATGAAGAATAGCAAGTACATTTGAAACTGTTTTCACAGATAGATTAGTTTTATACACTCTTTTAGAAACTGTTGGAAATACGTGGGCTTAAAGATATTTTTCTGAAGGGATTGGATGACTCTTGCTTTCTAATAAACGCAAGGCGATTGTGGTTGCGTCTCTGTCCCCCTGAGGTCTGCTAATGAACCTCTTCCTTGACTGCAAGGCCGCGGCCGTCTGAGCCTGCCCTGCTGCCTGGAGGTTGCGCCAGGCCCTGGAAGTCTGCGGTCACCAGGCCGTACAAAGCCTCAGTCTGTGTTACGAGCAGGAGGCCAGAGAAGGAGTCGTCGGTGGTACAGAGTCCTGCTCTTCGTGCGGCCGGAGGCCTCTGGGACGTGGCTTAATAATTAAATAGGACAGTCCTTGTTAGCTGTGATGTGCGTACAATTATATAAGCAGGATTTTTTAGCTAAGGTAATACTTGGCAATATGATTTTATAATGGCTTCTTGTGCTTGCAGGTACCCTTTCTGTGAGGAGAGAAAATGAAGTACTAGCTTTTCCTGGGATTTAAAGGTTATGTTATTAATAGTAACTACGTCCATTCAGATCAGGTAAAGGAAATACAAAGTATAGTAGTAGTGTTTGTTTCCTACCTCAAAAATGGAATTTTAGGAGAATTCAGCTTATGTGGTTTTTAAATGTGCGGATACGTACCAGGGAAGGCACCAGTAGGTGCGCCTCTGATTTTGGTTATTTGTATAAAGCAGGGTAGTAGTGTTTAGAAGCCAAGGCTATTTACAAGGTAAATCTGCCTTAAGTGTGTTATGTGCTACTTAAAGGCACATTTGTGATGTAAAATATCAGTTACTGTTGAGCCAGGAGTATAAAATAAATACTTTAATAAAGATATGTAAACATAAAATGCCTTTGGGTTTTAATGTTGGGATTACTGTAATCCTTTCATTTGAAAAATCATTATATCCAATAAACTCTACTTATTTATAATGAAAGTAGAGAATGTTGTTCTGAAAGCAAAATATTAACTTGTAGGGATTCTGTGTTTAGCGTGGAAAGGTGACTCCTTATAAAGACACAAGATTTCGTGTCACCTGAAATCACTGATCTCTCCATCAGAAGAGCCGTGTGTGAGTCCCGCGTGAGGCTGAAAGAGAAAGTGGACAGGCGGCTTGGCGTGCCCTGCGCCCGAGGAGAGGAACAGACTCGGTGTTTCCTGTGAGGATGGTGTGCTGAATTGAAATGGTCTGAAATCTAAAAATTTCCCTTTCCCTAGATAAAACCTGGACAGATTCAGTCCAGCGCTGTCCTGGCATGTCAGAACAGAACAGGAATGAGAAGCTGGCGGTGTGCGGGTTTCCCACGCCTCGGCCCTCCTGTCTAAGCGCTGAGGTTTCCCGTTTCTACACAGCCACAGTATTCACAGGGTTCCACGTTAAGCGCATCAAACGGGAGCATGCAGACCTGCACAGGGGCTGAACTGATGGTCAGTGTTCTCCTACAGGAACGGTATAAAAGCTGAGAGTTGCAGGACAGCCTTGTTATTTCCCCAGCTTACTTGGGGGTCCTTTTAATGTGGAATTTTGGAGTGAGACAGAATTGCTTGTGGACAGAGAAACGGCAAGAGGAGGCAAAGTTTCCTTGGCATTAGATTGCCTTGCAACACTACACTTAGAATATTGAACAAACAAAATACATTACGGTGTAGTCACCCACGTGACAGGGAGTAACACCCGAAATCATTAGCAGAGCAACACTTGGATATAAAAGTTATATGACTGTATGCATGAGTGAGCAAATGTGTAAGTGGAAATTGAGGGAGTCTACCAGATCTGGTGACGCATGCTTGTAGTTCCACCTGCTTGAGAGCCTGAAGTAGGAGGACCCAAGATTTGGGGCCATTCTGGGCAACTCAAGGAGTTTGAAAAAGTGAGCAAGGATGTAGCCCAGCACTCAAGCACTTGCCAAGCATGTACAAGGCCCTGGGTTCAATCCCCAGAACTGGAAAAAAATTGAGAAAGACCAAAGTGTTTATTTTGCTTGCTTGCTAATGAAGCATCATTTGAGGATAGCCAAGAGTTAGGCTAATCTTTTATTGGAAGGCAACAAAACTATCCCATTGGGCTTAGAATAAAGATACAGTGTATCCTGGTTTCAAACTTTGTTTCAAACCCAGATTTCATTTCAAGTTCAAAGAGGCAGTAAACCCAGTCACTAAAGCTTATGGATGGCCTTTCAGGCTAGGATAAAGGCAAATCACAAAGAACGAGGACCTGTTAGAATGATGGGGGGGGGTCCTCCATGTGGATGTCATTAAGATCCTGGGTTTTACCATTAACATTTTAGAAGTGAATTTTTTAAAATTCTTGATACTACTTTTTGGTAGTGAAGATTTCTTTTGTCTCTTCTCCATAAGATTTGACACTTTGAATACTTTTTTGTCAGTGTATTAGTGACCAGCAGGCAATTTTGAAAGTCATCATATGCTGAACGAGTGAATGAAAAGATCTTTTATAGTGTAAGTATATCCAAAAAAGTCCCCGAGGTATTCATTTTTCTGTTTTTATATTAAACCAAACCCATTAAATGTGTATTAGTGAGAAGACAACTTTATCGGATTAAAAATGTAGGTCACTTTTGTGTCTTGTTAACCTTAGGATATAACGTTATGCAGTGGCAAACTCATCTGAAAGTGTGTATGTTAATTTTAACTTGGTTCTGGAGGAGCCAGAAACATAACAGGAATGACTTGCCTGTGTACGCTCTCCAGCTTTTGCCCAGAAATCGCTACATTTTCAAGCAATCTCTAGTTACATCTAGTATTTCATGCCAGAAAGCATTTTATTTCTAGTCCAATCATATCAGCCCAGCCCTTTTCTCTCTTTCTCTCTAATTTTCTTTTACTAGGAAGAAGTTGCATTTTTATGGTTTATCACAGATCATCTTCAGTGTCTTGTATTAGACATCTAAGTATCTTTTTTTGGTATATATTCATCACAGTATAAGCATAAAAAAACTGTAAGGGATTTTCCAAAAACAGGAAACAAGAGGAAGGGCACATAATAAAAACAATTTATAAGTATGTGTTAAACCACTGCATGAGTGATTGTTGAAACAGACTCGAGGAAGAAACTGAGAATTTAAAATACAGTAATGGTGATGTAAAAGCAAGATATCCGTCACATATGATAGAGGGAGTTTCACAGAAAGATAAGGGATTGCTATTTTCTATAAAAGAGGCAAAGATCTTGCAGATTTTTTAAAAGAATAAATATTTATTACAGCCTCAGTCTTATCAATCAATCATAATTCACTAGCGCTATTCACTTGAGCTTTTACACCGAGGAGTCCAAGATACTGAACTGAAAAGGTGAAACATCAGACTAGGAAAAATTGGAAACATCGTATTGATTCTGAAATATAAATTTTATGTCATTTTATAGTTTGATTCTTAAGTCAGTTTAAAAATCTTAAGCATTTTTGTGTGGCTTTCACAGTTATTTAAAGACTTCCTCCTTGCCTGTAAACTCTGAAAAATACTATATTTGGAGCTGGTGTTGCAGACAGTCTTGAGCATTTCCCTCCCATCCTTTATTATAATCTCCTTGATGTTATGGTGGCAAGCAGTGCCCCAAACATTCACAACCGCAGTTATAAAGTTTCACTTATTCTCCCACAGTGATAAGAAAATTATGTTAAATGTAGAGAATGCATGTTTGTTATTAGGTAGAAAAATTACTTCTTTACTTTTACCACGGTACCCTCTAGCCAATTCCTCCAGAAATTTAGAAACTCAGACTTCTGAGAATGTCATCCAAGAGCAAGTCATAAAAAGTATTCTATAGAGAATTATCTTTCAAATTATTCAGGGTTAAGTTAGTTACAAGTACGATAAATACATGCATATTTTATACTAAGATAAGTTAATGGAAAGAGAGATCATGGGTTTAAAAATCATTTTAAAAGCAGGAAAAGTAGAGGAAGTTGGAAATTCAGTAGAAGTCTGAAAACAGAAGGATGGGCGAATCCTTGACAGCAAGTGTTGAGAGTCCAGGCAAATACACCATTATACACAGACCCGTAAATTTGCATGAATTTAAAAGGCTTGTGGGCTAGTGTGCGTTCAGCTTGGACGTAGGCACTGGCGGGAGGTGAATGCTGGCGCTGACCTGGAGGGGGCGCTGCTGAACCACAGGCTCTTGAGGCGCTGCGGCCGGTGGATGTGGGGTGAGTGTTTCTGCCGTGGGGGTGAGCTGCATGGCTTCTCTCTGCTAATACTGACACACTGCTTCCATTGTACTCAGTTCTGTTTTGATCAGTTTACTTGTACTAAAATATTGCTAATGAATTTAAGATTGGGAGCAACAGGAAGATTAGTATGGGTCTTGGGACTTGGATGTTCACGTAATGGTTCAGGTTAGGACAGTCCAGGGTCAAGAGTCCAGTTGGGGCAGAGGGCTTTCATGGAGAGATACCCAGGTGTCTTTAAATTATTTCCTAAGTAGATATAATAGGAAAAAGCCACCGATACTTTTGATACTTGAACGTATTGCTTTCATCCTTCTCTGCTAGCTCACGTCATGCTGTTCTTTAAGCATGTTCAGTAATTTGGATTCCTATTTCACTGTGTTCCGTTTGGTGAAGGAACGCAAACTTAGGAAGCCTCTCATATTTTGATTCGATGCAGCATTATTTCATGCCTGTGACCTGGACTGGTCCCCAGACCCAACCTCTGTGCTTTGGTAGTTTTATAGCTGCCAGCCCTTGTCCAAACCCGGAGATAGTTTTGTTTTTGTACGTAGTTTGTTCCGGTAAATACTGGAGACAGTTGAATGGGAAGGAACTGTAAGGAGTAACTCCCTTTCCCAGGGAGTTTAAAGGGAGTACTTAGAAATATTAAAGACCTACTTTAATCATATAGTCTTGACATGATCGTGGTGATACAGTTCCAGCATTTGGGAGATATTCTTTATTTTCATTCTTTTATAGTGAGTATATAGTTGACAGACTGAAAGCTGACTTTCGTATTTAGTCGCCTGTGCTTTTCACTGAGGCTACTGATTATTTTTATTTCTGGCCCTGAGAGCTGGCCCTGAGCTCACTTTGTAGCCCAGGCTGGTCTCAAACTCACAACAGTCCTCCTGCCTCAGCCTCCTGCATGCTGGGATTACAGGCGTGTGCCACCATGCCCAGCCATCCTTTTTTATTTTAGTTTGTCAGTTTTATTTGTATATTAATTAAATTTATGAGACTATGTTTCTCACCACCAGTTTCATCACTTTCATTTTTCTGTTTTCCCAACATATTTAGAAAACAAGCAGTAACTTAAAAATCCAGGAATTTTATAAAGTGCTATTTAGTGTAAGGTTATTGATTGCATATGTGTAATATCTATATAAGGCCAAGATAAGATCTTTTTATTGTAGTCATCTGTTAGCTTTGTATTATTGTAACAAGGTCCCTGAAATAATCAACTTTAAACAGGTGAGGAGGAACCTCAGTGGTGGAGGTTCCAGTCCATGGTCCATCGGCCCTGCTCCTTGGGGCTGTGGTGAGGCAGCCATCGTGGCTAGGGCAGGCAGGGCAGAGCAAATTGCCCACCTCATGGAAAGCAGAGAGTGGGAAAGGAGGGCTGGGTCCGCCTGGCCCCTCAAGGCCACCTCCCTGGTGACTCACTTCCTTCTACAGGGCCCACTTCTGGGGGACCAACCTAGGCCACCGGGTAGCTCATGGCTTTCTTCTTTAAATAGCAGGTTTCCTGAGGCATAATGCACACACTACACAGCTCACCTTCTAAAGTGTGCAACGCACTGGTGTGTAAGCAGCCACAGAGTTGGGAGTTTCGTTACTAAACAGAACCCCTGTGCCGGCTGCCGGTCCCCCTCCACTTCCCTCCCAGGCAGCCAC